CCCCGCCTTTCCCTGCTCAAGGGTCCAAGGTTTCTTTTCTCAATGAAAAAGCAAACACGACCCAGGAGGCAACAGTTTACTAAATTCGAGGAAAAAAGACCATCTTCTCAGGCCCCACTCCAGTCTGATTTCCAGTCCAGGTAAATCTCAGTCATTGTAGTTTGGGGAAAGTTGCTGAGAACCAGTATGTTTAACACATCTTTTTCCTTAGTATAAACATGCATGGTTTTTTTGTTGTTGTTGCTATAAAAGAGATCAACATAATTTGCCTTCTTCAAAAATAGAGAAATCAGCCCTGGCTGGTGTGGCTCAGTGGATTGAGGGCAGGCTGAGAACCAAAGGGTTGCCAGTTTGATTCCCAGTCAGGGCACATGCCTGGGTTGCGGGCCAGGTCCCCAGTGGGGGGCACATGAGAGGCAACCACACACTGATGTTTCTCTTCCTCCCTTTCTCCTTTCTCCTTTCTCTAAAAATAAATAAATAAATAAATTTTTTAAAATAGAAAAATCAAAATAACTTGAACACTGGTTAGGAAAATGACCTAGTTAAGGCTCTGGTTAAGGAAATAACCTGTTGTCAAATGTTTCATGGTAAAGACAAACTCACCAGAATGAGGAAACTGATGTTTTCCAAAGCAAGGGAACAAATTTAGAGACTGTCATTCAAACAAATAAATGTTATAATTTGTTTAGAGTATAACAAGGCAAATAAGAAGCAGATGTTTCGGTTCTTTCAAATGCATCATCCCATATGGTAGTCAGTTGTCACATTTTTTAAATTTCAAACGAATTAAAATTACATTAAAAGTTTAGTTCCTCAGTGTCGTGCCTATATTTCAAGTGCTCCGTAGCCACACATGCCCAGGGTTACAATCAGGTCTAGAACATTTACATCTTTGTATAAAAGTTCTATTGGAGAGCATTGCCCTAGAGCTATATGTCTGTCTTTGTTTCTTAAATGATATTGACATTTGTATGTTTCCTGTTGTTCTTAACAAATTAGCAAGAACACGGGTGGCTTAAAACAACAGAGATCGCTTTTCTCCTGGTTTTGGAGGCCAGAAGTCAGTTTCACTGGGTTGAAATCAATGTGTGGGCGGGACCACACGGTGTGGGGAGGAGTCTGCTCCTCTCCCAGCTTCCAGTGGCTGCCTGCACAACTTACTCTAGAGGGAAACGCCTCCATCTCTGCCTCAGTGGTTTCCTTGCCTCATTGTTTTCTGCTGGTGAAACCCCCTCTGTCAACCTCTTGGAAGGATACAGGTCTCTGCGCTTACAGCCCACCTGGATAATACTGGCTGATCTCCTTATGCCAAGATCGGTAACTTAATCACACCTGCAATCACCTGACTCCTAAAGTAACAGCAGTTAGAACCTGATATCCCATTTACTACAACCTGCTCCAGTGCTATTTTTCAATTTCCATTTTACTTTATTTGAATCTATGTTGCAGATTTATCATTTCCTCCACTGGAATCTATAAGTATAAACGTTCCTATAGTTTCCCAAAGCATACGATACCCCGCCCCCACCCCCCACCGCCAAACACACCAGAAAGGCTTATACACTGGAATATCCAGCTTTCTATTTAGCTTCAGGTATTTTGCCTCCTCTTGTTATGATTGTCAAAGCCCAGATTTTATGGAAAGCCATGATAGCACTAAATCAAAACTTTACACATCTACTTGCAACAACAACGGCAGCACATGTCAAATTTTAAGTCACACCTGAGTCAGAGGGCTATTCCTCTTGGCAAACTGCTTTGACTCTTTACTGTGAGTTCTAAAGTATCTTTGTTGATTGTGTTGGTTTTTAAATAATTATTTTTAAAGGCCATCTCAAAAATAAGATACATGTCTAGATATCTTTATGAAAATGAAAATAAGAAACAGAGTCAACTATAAAAACTACCCAAAACAATTAGAAAAACAGATCAAAGATAAATAAAAGATAACCCAATAGAAATCTGGGCAAGATTCCTGAGCAAATACTTCAGAAAAGAGGATATATATACATGACCAGTAAGTATGACCTCTTTCAAAATCAGGAAAATGTTCATTAAGACTGAAATGAGATATAATAAATACCTAACAGAATGGCTAAAGAATACTAATGGTCAGAATTTCTGGGGCAACTAGAACCCTTACACATTGCTCATGAGAGTTTAAATTGATACAACCTCATTAGGAAACATTACATCATTTAACAAATGTTGAATATATACACATGCTTGATATGGGGAGGGATTTTGAGGAACAAGTATGAAGGACACAGGGATGAGGACTGGGGGGGGAATGGGAGGCAGGTGGGGAGACGGGGCAGGGGGGCTGGGATGGGAGAAATAGACAAAAAAAAACTGTACTTGAAAAATAACTAAATAAAAAAAATTTTAAAAATAGAAAAATCAAAATAAGTCTAAGTCTATACCCATGAAAAATGTTTATAACAATTATGTGGAAATAATCAAAAGTAGAAACACACAAATGTTCATAAACATGGAAAGAAAAAATAATTACAGAATATTCATACAATAGAATAACCATCCAACTGGAAATAAATGCCTTAAGAACATGGATAATTCTCACAAATATAATGGAGGAGGCCCAAAGAGTGCTTCTGGGGTGTAATAAGATTCTTTGACTGACCTGGTGCTGATCACAGGGGTGTTCACTTTTCTGGAATTTGGGAGTAGGAAATGCAACAGTGCTGGCAAGCACTGGCCTTATACCAGGCTGCCTGGACTCCCTTGCAGCTCCATCACTCAGGCTGTGTGAGCTTGGGCACATGCGAACTTCCACTATTTTTATCCTAATAAACACTATTAGATGAACTGCCTTTGTCAGCCATGCTGTGTTTTTGTTATTCACTGTGGTATTATTTCACTGGGTTGAAATCAACATATTCCATGATGCATAAGAGAAATTATATACATCATGGTTTCCACAAAGAATATTAAATATTTTTTTATTGAAAGTGAACATGCTCCTTATAAAATATGTCATGTGATTACAATATCACTTTCTTTTTTTTGCCTTCCCCCACGATGCCAATAGCTGGGATGTGTGTGAACATAGGGTTTGTATCCAGGAAGACACCTCACAGTAAAAAGGACCTCAATTTATGTCAGGGTTCTCTTGAGGCTTCTTCTGAAGAGTTAAAACTTCTTCCTGAAGATCTAATTCTCTCGAAGAGCTAAATCTGTCTCTCTACTCATTATGTTTGCTATAATAAAGTGATGACCAAATAAAATAAACCTCTGTACAATGATAAAGATGATCTCTGTGGTCCCTTTGAAGTAACTGGCTCGCTTTGTATGAGACAATGCTGCCCATGAATGAATAAAATATGATTTAATCATCATTACAGCTGCTATTTTCACTAATCTCTGCAACTAAATTCATACAAAGGTGAAAGCTTCATGAATGTTTTATTATGAAGTACCAAGTGTTTGGTTAATTTTAAAAAGCTTTCCCAATAGTGCGTTAGCCACTTACTGGTTATAGTGAACTTCCATTTTTATGGGTCTATGGAAAGGGTGAAGGGAGAGTCTAGCAGGAGCTCCCTTGCATAAGGCTGATACCCCAATTCCCCGCCCTATCCAAATCCAGCATCCTTCCTCCCCCAGCCAGCTGGAAGTACAGCAACAAAATTTCCTGGGAGGAGGCCAAAATATTTTAGAAGAGAGTTCAAATTCTAAAGCCAGTGTTGGTAAGTCGTGTGTTTTGCAGACTGAATTCATATTACCTACTGGCCTCACACAACCTCGAACAATCTTTAGAGTTATTGTGTGCTGGCAAAGTAATTCTACACTTACAGAAGCAAATAAGCAAAGTTAAATCATCTCTAGACTCTACCATCAACCTTGGCCTGCAAAAAGTTCCCCAGGTAAAGATCTGAAGAATTCAAAGTTGCAGGCAAGAAGGTGGATTAGGGTAAAGATGAGGAAGAAGGACAGGCAGATAAGGAGGCTAAAAAGCCGAAGAAAGAAGGAAGAGAAGGAAGGAAGAGAAGGCCATGGAGGGAAAGAAGGAGAAAACAAGGCACTATGTTAAAAAAAATAAGCAGAAACAGTACTTAGCAGAATTAACCCCCCCCCAATCCACATATTGGCATCATTAGAATTATGTATAATGCATTTTAAAATACAAAAAGGGAATTTAAATAATGATTTTAAAGAAGGTGACCATGTAAATTTATAAAGGGACAAATAAAACTTACAGACATGCAAAATGTAACTGACATTACAACTCAGTGTTTGGCTTAAAATAATGATGCTATGTCCTGGTTGGTGTGGCTGAGTTGGTTGGAGCGTCATCCTTTAAACTGGAAGGTAGCAAGTTTGATCCCCGCCCAGGGCACATACCTAGATTGCAGGTTCGGTCCCTGGCTGGAGCATGTACAAGAGGCAAACCATCGATGTTTCTCTCACACATCAATGTTCCTATCATCCTCTATTTCCCTCCCTTTTCCTCTCTCTAAAATTAATGAGCATGTCCTCAGATGAGGATTTAAAAAAATAAAAAAATGAAATAAAATAGTGATGCTGTAACTGAGGGGAACTGGAAAAAAGCTTTTAGGAATGTATCTAAAAATGTATCAGAAAAAGGCAAAAAGAAGATAATAGCACAGGTTTCCACTTTTTAAAGATTTCCTAAGACTTTAGGCAATTTAACTGATATGCTTTGTTGTTTTATTCTGTTGAACAAAATCACTTCCCAACCCTGAAGATACTCTTCAGGTATTCCTATATGTGTGTTTGTGAATAAATGAAAATACACGTGTATAAAAGGGAAAAACTTCGATTTATATATAAAAACAGAGGGCAGTTTCGTGTCCGAGAAAGCAAGCAATGTTAAACAATGGAAAAGAAACAGGTTACAATGTAAATGAAGATGGCAAAACCCCACCACACCTATCACAACAGTGCTGGCGAGCACTGGCCTTATACCCGGCTGCCTGGACTCCCTTGCAGCTCCATCACTCGGGCTGTGTGATACTCACAGTAGGAACAGCCGTAGACTTCGATTCTGAGCCCGATGCGGCCTTCTCCGTGCCAATCCAGAGGCACCACTCGCACATGGCGGGCGACGACTGGGTGTTGCAAGTCATGCCGTACCACGCTGTCAGAGTTGACGTTCCCGGGAAATGCCTGGGGGGAAAATGGGATTCACAGATTAAGGGCGAGGGATACCTCCAAAGTAAACATGTTCTCTATCTGCTAAACTAAACTTAAAGTTTCTTATCCGATGCAGGACTTCAAAGGGCTTCAGACCAAAAGCAATTTGAAAACAAGCTTCTCTGTTTCCTTCATTTGAAACAAAGTCCAGTTTTATGTGGAATCTGAGTGAAAGCTCCCTGAGTCTTGTCATATGTGTAAATATACTCAAATGTTGAAAGAATGAAGCACCACTGCCCTGGCTGGTGTGGCTTAGTGGACTGAGTGCTGGCCTGTAAACCAAAGGATTGCTGGTTCAATACCCAGTCAGGGCACATGCCTGGGTTGCAGGCCAGGCCCTCCCAGTGGGGGATGCTCAAGAGGCAACCACACACTGATATTTCTCTCCTCTTCCATCTCCAAAAGTCAAAAAATAAAGAATGAAGCCCCACTGTAGTATACAATAAACAAATTATGAGTTCTAAAATCAAGTCACGCAATACATAATTTTTCCTAAAATCCAGTCACATTTCTGGCTTTTAAAAAATCCTCTCCACATTACCTTTCCATGACACTGTTAGAAATCTAATGACTTTTTGAACATCATTTAGGTAAAAAGAACAATCAACTGTGCTGTGTTTTTTATAAAGACATGACAGAACAAAATGCCCATAAGTCAGGATGTCCTGAGCTGTGGAGCTCACACCACAGGCAAGATGACCAGTGACAAGGAATCGAAAGTCAATACCGATGTGGATTATGTGGGAACATTAAAAAAAAGACAGATATGCTATTTCAAAAGAAGGACTGGTAACATTTGTAGAGAAGGGAGCAGGGGGACAGACACTAACCTATTCCCAGGTACTAACGTACAAGCACCGGTGAGGAGAGGGAGAGAAGTCCCTGGGGAGACAGTCATGCTTCCTCCTCAGCAAACTCTTCCCCTTCTTTGAGTAACAAACAGCCCAGGATGTCCTTGAAAAGGCCACCCAATCAGCACTCTCAACCCTCCTGATTCAGGAGATGCAGATGCCACTCGGTGGTAGCAGGGGGTGGAGAGGGTGGGGGCAGGCACCTAACTCAAGGAGACTCCATTTGAGCACCTCTGCTGGGACAACTGGTCATTTACTCATTCACTTACTGAAGCACCTGCTTATTCACTGAGGAAGTGTCTGACAGGCGTCTTTGTATCAGGTGTTGCTCAGACCACTGGGATACAGGATTAACAATACAGAGTTTCCATTTTCATGGCATTCATATTACTAAAGTACATGGTGGGGCGGATGAATAATAGATACATAATGAATACATATTACTAACATTGTTATATGTTATGCATAACATTGCATATGCTGCATCGTCTATTACCTACTATCTATTAATAATATACTGTGCTTATATATTGTATATGTGAGACCACATATGTGCACAGCCAGAATGGCAAATGCCCTGAGCAACCCTGGCATGTCCGGAAGACGGAAGAGCAGCCCGTGTTTTGGGTGTACATGAAGAAGGGGAGTATGCAGGGGTTACCTAAGAGATGAGGTCAGCCAGCAGGGCCTGCAGGCCCTGAAAATGTTTCAGATTTCAGTATAAAAGGGCTGGAAGGAAATCCACTTAGAGAGGTTCCAGCAAGCAAGTTACACATCTCACAATTTTTTAAGACGGAGGCCTGAAATCTACCTCTCCAAAGTGACGTTCCTAGGAGAACAGCACACTACAGCGTAATGTAAACTACGCCCATGCTCTGGAGGAGTGGGGGCCCTTCAGGGACAACAGGGGAAGTGTGATGGGGACGTGGGTGCTGCAGAGGAGCAACAGGACACTTATCGTTGGCCCTGCTGCTGTCATGAAGGGATGGGTGTCAGCGAAGACCAAGTCGGCACCGAAACCCAGAGCGTGCTCTGGGCTTCCTCATAATGGGCCCTGTTTCCTCATTTAAAATATTTTTTAAGCAATTGAAAAAAATGTCAACTAACACCGATATTTGCAGGGAAAGGTAATTAGCGAAGATTTAGATACATTGCATCTGAGACTCAGCCATCGCATTAAAAGGCCACATAGAGAGTCTGAGAATCTGAGATGTCCAGGAGGGGTGGGCTGTATCCAAGTTTAGCTTTCCCCGGAGGGCACAGTTATTATTCATGAACAAGTGTTTGGCATGGGTGGTTTCTTCAGGATTCACAGCATCATCAGATTGTGTGTTTTTGTCCTTCCTTTCATTTCCAAGCACATTGGGATTGAAGATATTATCCTAACTGAAGTTTCAAACACTTCCAGTGCATGGCACAGTCATGGCTCATCATTGTCTTGAATATAAAGGCACAAATATGAGAAATGCCACTTTCTAGAAGCCTGTATTTTGCCACATATAATGTGCACCCTCAGTTTTGTCAACATCACACACAAGATTACTATACCCATTATTTATACCCATGGTATATACTCATTACTCCCATGTATATAGCGCACATCCTCACTTTTCCCTAAAAAATTGGGCAAAAAAGCATGCATTATACATGGCAAGATCCAGTAGCAGTTTCAGGGAAAGTTAAGGACCATAGAAGAAGGTGTAGCCATTGATTTAATAAAAACATCTAATGTTTATACATCACTTTAAACTCAGGCCCAGAACAGTGAGAGGACCTTCTGGATGCTGACCAGCTGGGAAGGGAGGACCAGGGAAAAGTCACAGGCTCGTCCAAACCTTGAGAATCCACTTTTGAGCTGGGAATAGAGGTTCCCCTACTGAGGCACAACACGTGTATTTTTGATGGTTCATGTTGCATCTCTGAATGTCGGATAGAAAGTTTGATGCTTTTTAATCATCCACTGTAGATGTTAATGTTTGATTTCTAGCCCATTTTCTAGATAGCATATTTTGCCCACAGAGTTTACTTCTCGCTGCATTCTTATTGCTGTGAAGTTTGACGAAATGACTATTTTCCCTTTTCACACATTTTCCCAAAACATGCTCCTACTGTGGTCATTAGCAAAAGTTCCTCCACATCTTCAGTACAAGTAAGTAGGAGTTTGAATGATACTTTCACTAAAAGGAAAGACTGGTTTGCTATACTGTGCATAGCTTTTCAAGAGTAATGACTACAATGTCATAGGCTTTGAAAAGGTTTGGTGTTTTTTTTGTTGTTGTTGTTTTTTAGAAAGAGGGAGAAGAGGGGGAGAAAGACAGGGACAGAAACATCAATGTGTGGTTGCCTCTTGTACGCCACCATCCAGGGACTTGGCCCACAACCCAGGCACATGCCAAGACTGGGAATCGAACTGGCAACCCTTTGCTTTACAGGCTGGCACTCAATCCACTGAGTCACACCAGCCAGGGTGAAAAGGACACTTTTTAAAAAGGAATTTGACTTTCATGTCACGCACAGCTTTTTGCACAGATGTAAAAAGGAAGAAAAAAAAAAAACAAGGAAAAAGACCAAAAGCTCTTTTTACAAAACCATTAAGATTTAGAAATCTGCACCAAAATTAACAGAGTAAAACAAATCTGAACTTTTCTGGACTAGAACAATATCCTCTAAAATTCAACCTCCATGTAGACAGATGCCACACAATAATGTAAGAACTGTGTATACATGAAAACATCAACTTCATCACCCTAAGACTCAAAAGTCAGTTTACAGGAGGGTGTGAATTATATGTCCTCACTTTTAAATCTCCTTTTCCGGCTGTGATTTGTACATACACATAAAAGGGTTTTTTCTTTCTTTTACTAGCATAGCATACACATAACTTGCAAAGCTTTATGCTTTGGTGAGGCTCACAACAATATAACATAATGTTAAACCTATGGTACGATTCTATGGCCTTGTAAATTGTTAAATGTACAGCAAAGAGTCGGAGCTTTTATAAAATAACATACTGTGAAGTCATTCAGAAGGCTAACTTTAGAGTAATCTACACATCACTAAAACTTGAATAACTGAAAAATGTCCAGCATTGCCTTAAACATGACTCAAATAATAGTTCAGATGGTCTAAGAGAGAGAGAGGCCAAGTTTTTCTCTAGTGTACCAAGTCGTAAATACAGGGTCCAGCACAAATAATGCCCCTTTTTTTATTACAAAATCACAAGTATGTGATTCTGTAACATAACAATATCACAGCCAATCACACCACAAGACATTTTAGGTGAAACGTTCAAATTAAAACTATACATTATCAGACCTATAGCATTATCCCACCGACCACACTTGAGTAGGGCAATCCCTTCTGCTGGACCCTGTATTTTAGGATTTTCAGACCACACAATGCTCAGCCGCACGTTCTCTTTCTTATTCCCTGTTGTTTTTAAACAACCCAAACCTTGTGGACCACAGCATGGTGATGACAAGAGGGAAGAGGGAAGGTGGCGAGTAAGGGTGACGAGGATAAAGGGGGATCAATGGTGACGGAAGGAGACTTGCCTTGAGGTGGCACACACAGTACAGCATACCGATGAGGCGTTATAAAACTGTGCCCCTGGAACCTACATCCTTTCATCAGCCAATGTCACCCCAATACATCCAGTAAAGAAAAGAGGAAAAGTGTAACCACCACCTTAGCACACAGACTGTGAAGGAGCGGGCAGGGACCAAAGTGGCAGCGAGTCTGGATCCGGGAGAACTTTTCACAGGAATAAACCCTCCCCTTGACTCGGGTAAGACGCCAAAGTCTGAAATCACCCGAAGACCGTTTGACCGCTTGGCATTTAAAAACCAATCAACTATGGCAAAGCCTACTACCATCACGGGAAGCAGACCATTTACCAGACAGCAGGAAAACAGGCAGGAATGTAGGAGTGCGCTGTGGGATGCAGGAACTGTGTTTTTCCCTTAGAGTCACTATTATGAAGTCTAAGGTGTCATTGATGGAGCATTTTATGAGGACAGCAAACATACTTAGTCCTCACTAAAGCCTCATGTTGCAAGACTCCTATAATAACCGCCCACAAACCTCTGCAGCAGGTGACTGAGACTGTATCAGTGTGAAGGC